CTAGAGCTCAATTTCAAAACTGAACACCAGAGACATTTTGGTACACATTCATTATCCATATCTCATGAAACATGTTTTTAGGGTGTGTTCAAAATGTACCATAACTGTACAAACAGTCCTTGAAAGCTGAAGGATAAATGCTTCAAAGAAAAGGCAAAACAGAAAGACTTCTGTTTCCCAATTCATCAATAGCTTAGTCTTTACACCTCAGGAGGAAGGTGATCTTATTTTTTTAATATGCTGTAGTCTTAAAAACTTTTTTTTTCATATTAAGACATATTACCAGTTTGTTGTAATGTTAGCAGCAGGTGTGTGTATGATCTTTCATCAGCTCAGCAAATTTTATATCATTCCAATCTTAGTTTAAAAGAATCAGGCTAATTTTCCCTCTTAGAAACAACAGCAATGTCCCCCAGCAGCAGAAAGTTGGGCGTCTTCAAACAAATCTGCTCCAGAACAGTGTTTATTTCTAGGTATCTAATGGCTACCTTGTATAGCAGTGATCATGGTTCTCACAGAGGCTTATAAAGAAAACCCAAGAGGAAAGCAAATGAAGCCCTCGTCTCTCTCCTGGGACAAAAGGTAGAGGAGTTTTCATTGTCCATTCCTGCTGAGATGTAATAGTTTCTGTTCACATCTAAAGCTAAACATGATCTCCTAAGAAGTAATAACCATGTAATAATTTTTAAAACCCTTTAATAATTTATTTTGATCTACTTACCTCGAGGTTTTCACAAAACTTCCAATATACTGGAGCCACCCTTTCCCAGGCGTTCTTCCCTTCCTCCTGTGTAAAACAGCTAGATGGCATGACGCTCCAGCATCCTGTGATTTGTCTCCATTCTCTTTCCAGTGTGTCAAGAGTGTCAAGGCCATGACAGAGCATTTTCACAAGCTCACTCCTTCATTGTGTCTAGAACAGAGCCCACCAAAATGACACGTTATGACATAGATGCCTCGTACCTCTTCTTGAAATCGAAACTAGAACAGATCAGGAGCTCACGTATTTTTTTTTCCTCAAGAATTCTACAGGGAGAAAGGGAAGTGAAAATAGTACTGTTTCCTGGTAGTTTAAAAACATCTCTTAAAGCAAAGTGATCAATGTTGATTGATAAAAATGGCTTTTCCCACAATTCCTCTATCAGGAATGGAAAATGAACTTGAATCCAAACTCTTTCTTTTGGTTTCTGACCCCATGGATAGCCCTCTTCTTGTGACTAGATGCATCTCTGTATCCTCAGGCCCTGATGTCATCATGATTCCAAACCAACCTAGCCTGTTCGCTGCCACCCATCTGAGTTTGAGTATTGTCACTGCTTGAGATTACTGCCACATTAGCCCATCCACTTGATCATACATGGTATTAATCAGTGCAGCTTAAGACCCAAAGGGTAGTGATGCTAACACATAGGAAGTGTATTTCTTGCTCAGGTAATGGTACAGAAATACTCCAGGTCTGTGGGGGAACAGAGCTTATCCTTCACAAAGTCATTCTGAAATGGAGCAGGACTCTATGGGGCCTTCCCAGGACAGACCCTCCCACCTCCACCATGTCCTCCACCTGACTCCTGTCCGTAGAAAAACTTCAGTCAAAGAATAAATTTAATCAGAGAAGTAAGAAGATACAGAAACAAAGGGAAATAGTCAAGCAAAACAAAATAATAATAGTTTGACCAGCAAGCAAAGCCAAAGACCTTTAGTTCCTCCTCAAGGGCTGTAGCTAGTGTTCTGGGCCACACCCTGAGCTGTCCTATAGATACCGAAGCTCCCACCAGGTGCAAGAAGTAACTACATGACGGCCACACTGCAGCCGTGACATGAGCTGCCACGATTCCAAGAGCTGGCCGCAAAGAAGTGAAAACAAACGGGCCCTGGAACTGAAGATTAACTGTACTTAAAACAATCAAGATGATGCTGATCAGATCGCTGCATGAGCAATTTCAAGGTGACTGTGAGAGCTAACTGTGCTGTTCTGCATGTAGCCACCCCCCCCCGCTCTGCCTGTCACCCCTGAAACTACCCCTTAAAAGCTCTTGCCCACTGATCAACAGTGGTGCAGGGGGGAGGTAGGTAGCCTTTGGACAGGAGTCCGCCCCCACCCCCCTTCTCACCCCTGGTTGCTGGCCTCCAGAATAAAGCAAACTTTCCTTCCTACCAACATGTGCCTCTCTTTGTGTTGGCTTTCGAGCAGCGAGTGGCTGGAACTGTGGTTTCAGTAACAATTCATGAATCTAAGCCTAACGCACCTTTGTCACCTGCAACACATGGTTTTCAAAGTTGCCCTGGGCATCACTAGTCTAGTTCACCAGAAGAGGGAAACAGTAAAAAGGACCACAAACGGGAAGTTTAATCAGTAAGAACTAAAGGGGGGGGCATATCATCCCCACTCACATTCTGTTGATCAGTACTCACACGGCTCACTTAACTGCAAGGGAGTCTGGGAAAAGCCCAGTGCCCAGGACTAAGGGTACAATGGGTTTTACTGGACAGCTGACAGTCTCTGCCACAACCTCAGGCTTCTGGCCACGAGAACGCATGTACATCCTTATTCCCACACACAGAGCACACTTTCCTCTTCTCCACATTGTCACTGCATGTAGCTCAGTTTCCTCACCAGGTTGAAATGTAGTTCTTCACGGTCAGACAATCAAGGAACTAAGAAGACAAGTTACCTGCCCCTGCCGTGCCCCATACACGACGGTGGAGCTGGGCTAGGATATTAGCAATAAAAACCACCATCCAAAAAAGAAAAGAGATGAATGTGAAACAAATGTCAGTCACTGGTCCACAGCAATGAGAATTTGATGGGCAAGGACTGTGAAGCCCAGGCCGGAGAACACATGTCTGTTGTTCTCTGTGTACCTGGCTTCGCACTTGGAAAGGTTCTTCCTGGTGATGACATATCACAGCCACATTTGACGTGAGCGCCGAGATGTGTGCCCTCCTTGAGAGCTATGCAGACTTTGTAACACATTTTCTAATGGTCCCAGGTTGTTTCATAGAGGAAACGGGCAAAGGCTTTTTCAAGCCAGGCTCAGGGTTACTTTGGTAACAAAAATCCCTTAGAAACTTAAGTGACTTCTAGTTAATGCACTTTCAGTCAGCTCCATTTGTAACTGCACCCAAAGTTATTTCTGAGACATGATTCTAAACTTCTTAATTCCTTTGTGTACTTGCATTAATCCTTGCCTCTAACTTAGTGACAGCTCCTCTGAGATATCTTAAATCATGGGCTAAGATGAACAATACTCTTGATATAATCTTAGCCATAGGGCTGGATCCTTTTGGCTAATGAGAAGCATTGAGATGTCTTTTTCTTCTTTTCCAGTCTTATCTCCTATTGTTTCAGGTCCAGAAGCATTTGGTTTCTCCAACAC